TTTTTTGATATACCGTGGATTCAAAATAAAGTAACTGATGTTGAAATGGTGAGAAAAAAATGGTTAACGACTATCACATGTGCATACAAAATACACATTACTACACAAGTTTCATTATACATCACATCACTTTCATACCACATTTTCACTGCAAAATAAAATATGCAACAAAAGTTTTAACAGAACTGCAAAATCTTGTGATTTAAGTAAAAAAGGGAATAAATGTTCAAACTAATTTTAAATTAAAAACATAAGTTATAGCAACACTTTCTATGCCAAACAGATTTAAAAAAATTAAGTTTTTTTAAACTTTGTCAACTAAACATTTCACTTGAACAAATCAACTACTACAGATCTTTACCTGCCATTGTCACGGCCTACTCCCCACACCCTAATGGTGTGGATAGGTTGTGTATTTAGGACATTCATGTCTTGAGGATGTATCAGTCGAAGGCAGTAGTCATCCAGGTCCATGTACAAATCTTTTCCCTACAAAAATAATTATGTCGTAATTTAGCTCCATAAATAAGATTTGTTTGATAATTATTTATTATGCTACTGTTACACTCTTACACAGAAATACATCTTTATATATCATAAACTTTAAGTACAAAAAAAAGGGACTTGTTGGTCCATCTAGGCTATCCCATCCAGTAAACTAAACTTTAAAAACACAGTACTCCAAATGTGACCTATACAATGACATTATAATCTCCCTAGACTTGTATTTAATAATATTTCTGTAGATAGAACCTAAAATCCTATTTACCCACCACTAACAACAGCACACTGTTTGGATGTCTCAAGGGATTGATCAATCAGAATACCAAAATTTATTTATTTCACAACACTATTAAGGTTATTCACATCACAATTAAATACTCATAATTCAAACTGTGGTATCCTACATCCAATACCTTACATTTATTATAATTAAAAGTCATCCATCATTTATTCACCCAACTCACCAAATAATCCTTTTGTAAAGCATCATCATCTTCCTTACAGCCAGCAACACCCAAATCTTTGATGTCATTAACAAATCTAAATAATCTATTGACCATTCCTCCATCTATATTATTGATGTAAATTAAAAAGAGCAAAGGTCCTATCAATAAGCCTTGGGGTACCCCCACTCGTAATATTAACCCAGTTTGACTGAACTCTATTTATAACAATCCTCTGCTTTCTTCCATCTAACCAGTTTTCTATTCAATGAGCCAACCTATTCCCCACACCTATAGAGATAACATTTTTAACAAGAATTTTATGTGGCACCTTGTCAAATGCTTTCTGAAAATCCAAAGACACCAACCTCACGCCCTTGTCTACATAAGCAGTAACTTCTTCAAAGAATGTCAAAATATCAGTAAGGCAAGATTTTTTCCTAGTGAAACCATGTTGACTATCCAACAAAATTCTAAATTTTATTAAATGACTTTGCAAAGTATCTTTTATCAGACTTTTGAAAACGTTTTACCCACAACTGATGTAAGACTAAGAGCTCTATAATTACTGGTACAGATTTTATTACCTCCCTTGAAAAGTGAAGTAACATTAGCCAACATCCAATCTTTTAGTACTGCCTACTATTTAAGAACTTACAAGAAATAGTAGCAAGTGGATCACATATCTAATCATTATTCTCTTTCAAAACCCTTACATAAATATTATCTGGTCCAGGAGCCTTATCATTCTTTAATCTTCTCAATTTTTTCTTAACAAGATGTGAATTAATGTGATCAACCTTGTTTCCATCTAGCAGCTGTTCAGGATGAGGAATACTGCTTAAATGTTTATTAGTAAAAATTAAAGAAAAATTAGAATTTTTTAACATAGCACTTACAACCACCAGAAATGAGCCTTCATTTATCAACTGTTGAAGACCCTGCTGCCATCCTAACATTTTGCTTACTATTCAGGTATTTAAAGTAATTATTACTGTAAATTTCTACATTTTCAGCCAACCTTTGTTCATGCATCCCTTTTGATTTCCTAATGTCCTGTTTGACCAACTCTCCAAGTCTCCCATCATACCAGTCAAGTCAACCTTCTTAAGTTTGTAATGATCTTTATTTTTATTCCACTGTAAGCCAGCCTGGTCTTTACTTGTAGTCACTCCCCCCTTTTTTATCTATAAAGAACATGTTTATCTTAAATATTTATGCCTACATTTTTCAACAATATCTTTAAGTAATTCAGCTACCCAATGGATCATTCTTCCTCCATTGCTTCAGAATTTACATTTTGCAATTTGTAACCAAACTCTCATTGCTCGTGATCTCCATATGTAGTAAAACATCAGAACTAATCAAGCAGTTGCACCCATATAATTCCCAATCTCCACCCTCTCAACCATTTCTATACTACAAGTTAACAATAAACAGCATTCTTTCTAGTAGGTTCCCTCACAAATGGCAGCAGAGAGAAGTTGAATTGACTTAAAACACTCGGGGAGGAGATATAGGCAACATCCCAGTGGGGGTTTGTCCCCTTGAAGCTGAACAGCTTTTACAATCTGAAATGCAATCAAACCCATTATCTAAAGTCTTTTGCTCAGAGAGCTGTGTTGTTCAAAGATCATATAAGTTATTCATGAAGCAATACTTTGGATCATGAAGAGAAATAAACAGAATTGAGACACGATCTCAGGCTTATAGCATTCTTTATTCTAAATCCAAATAGAAACAAAATTATCACCAAATTCTTGTTGTAGTTATATATTGTCATTCTAGAAGTCATATCAAGTCACTTTCATATTTAGCTATGAAGAAAGTTGATATTTTATGGGTAAAAATCAGCTAACTGTGGACACATCAAGTAGGCATGAAATTCCTTTTGCAAAAGTTTTCCAAAGCAATTCTATTGATATTATTGGCATTCAAACCTTCCATGCTTAATAAACATGCAGCCGTTTTTAATGTGAACTTTAGACTGTTTAGTATTATGACTTACAACTAAGTCACTCACAAGTTTAGGCCTATTACAGACAAAACAAGGTGAATATAGATATAGATAGAGTTTGATTACTTTTATGACTGTGTACGGGAATTACTATGAACGGATCATCACTAAATTGGCACGTAAATTGTGCATAGATCGAGTTTGATTACTTTTATGACTGTGTACAGGAATTACTATGAACGGATCATCACTAAATTGGCACTTAAATTGTGCATAGATCGAGTTTGATTACTTTTATGACTGTGTACGGGAATTACTATGAACGGATCATCACTAAATTGGCACGTAAATTGTGCATAGATCGAGTTTGATTACTTTTATGACTGTGTACAGGAATTACTATGAACGGATCATCACTAAATTGGCACGTAAATTGTGCATAGATCGAGTTTGATTACTTTTATGACTGTGTACAGGAATTACTATGAACGGATCATCACTAAATTGGCACGTAAATTGTGCATACAACACTTAAGAAGATCTCACATGTTCAACAACATGTCTGTCATGATGTGATGTAAACTCCACCTGAGAAAACAGTCAATCAACTATATTATTAATTAATATACCTGCTGGTCTACAATATATGTCCAAGTTTTTATGAAACTGCATATCAGTAAATGTTCATCTGAATATTTCAAAGAAAGAATACACTTGTAGTAGCTGTTCATCTAATAGCTTTGGGTATTGAAATTAAGAAGTCAGATTTTTTATTTTACCAATTTGATTTTTTTCAATTCATAAAAATCCATCCTGAGACAGAACTCTACCTTCCGTGCAATTAGTGATAAAAACCATCATGATGCAGGAAATATTCAGAACTGTTAAATAAAATATAAGATGAATGAATCCCTAAAAATGGGTTCACTGTGTCCAGATCTATTAAATGGACATCTTACTTACACAAACAGGGTTCATTGTGTCCAGATGTATTAAATGGACATGTTACTTACATAAAACAGGGTTCACTGTGTCCAGATGTATTAAATGGACATTTTGTGTAAGTAACACACAGTGAACCCTGCCAGGTGTATTAAATGGACATGCTACTTACACAAACAGGGTTCACTGTGTCCAGATGTATTAAATGGACATGTTACTTACACAAACAGGGTTCACTGTGTCCAGGTGTATTGAATGGACATGTTACTTACATTTGCATAACCTCTAGAACCTCCTAAATGAATATCGAAAGTTTTTTCAAGGTAAATGTTTATATCAATTTTTTTCATTTTCTCTACCATTTCACTAACTGTTGCTATTATCATCAACGTACCATGCAATGAAATAATTCCAATTAGAAAAAAGAAAACAAAATTCATAACTTTTAATATTTTGAAGAATATCTTTTAAAGATTTTTCCTTTTGCTAAATTGATAATTTCAGGTTTTTTTCCTTTTCACATATAGTTAATATTTAATGTTTTTTTTATTCCCTTCTTGTCTTTTATCAGTTATTATTCATCTATACCCAAGTCACTGGTGCCCATACTACACTGTCTCTGGCAGCACCCGGTAATATCGTAAGTCTTGAGAACTGATGTAAGGTATGATGAATATATAAAAAAGGTTTAAAACCTTTCAATTATACATTTTAAAACATGAATAATACATAATTAAATAAAGTATAACAGTAAGACCTAAATCCAATTTAAACTGTATCCCTAACTATAACATATTCAGTTAAGAAACAACCGTAAGTGCTGTAGTTGATCAAACAGCCAGTTACATTTACTACGTAACGACAAATGTGCGCCAATCTCAAAATAACTGTTTTTAGATTATAGTGTAAAATGAGATCTTTCTAATGACTATATATGTGTGTATATAACAACTACATGTAGGCTATAAAGCTGAAACAAATATGTTGAAGGTGGAAGTGGCACTTGTCTTTATTACTTGTTTCAACTGTAATCATTCAGAGAACTTTGAAAAAAATGAGTCAAAAGATTATGAAAGCATCTTATAGTCTAGACATAATCTACAGAACTGCCATGGTATTACTGAACATAAGGAGAGCCAAAGTAAAGAATTTTCATAAATGTTGGTCATATGACAATACATCTGAAGTTTTAAGTAGTTTTTTAAATGTTTTTTTTTTAAATAAAGGACTTAAAACATAGATAACACAAAGTTTTAAATCATAATATATATTATAATGATAATTTAATTCACATAAATTGATTTTAAAGGTGTTTAAAGGGGTACCCATGTTTAAAGGGTTTAATGGACATGTTACTTCCACAAAACAGGGTGTCCAGGTGTATTAAACCAACATGGTACTTACACAGTTGCATAAAATAGACAAACAAATGTTCATTAAACAGCTAATTACCTCACCCCAGCGACCCACAACGTCTAAGATGGCATTTCTTCCAACACTAAGGTTAACAATGCACTTATTCACTGCTTTACTGCTTCTTTCTGGTGTCAAATCCTCTTCAGCTATCTCCATCCAGCCCAGAGAACGAACAGCAAATCTGATGGGTTTCTGTGTAAGAAACAGGCAATCAATTCATGGCCACCTTCACGGCCCACAGATTGTAACACAGTAACGCGTTTTTCTTGAATCATTATCTTATGGTATAAACTAAACTGGCAAGAGTTCACACTGAGGTTATATTATATTAAATACAATATGTGGTATAAAACTAAACTGGCAAGAGATCACACTGTGGTTATATTATAACCATATGGCAAAAGTTCACACTGAGGTTATATTATATTAAATACAACATATGGTATAAAATTAACCTTGCAAGAGTCCACACTGAGGTTATATTATATTAAATACAATATATGGTATAAAACTAAACTGGCAAGAGATCACACTGAGGTTATATTATATTAAATACAATATGTGGTATAAAACTAAACTGGCAAGAGTTCACACTGAGGTTATATTATATTAAATACAATATGTGGTATAAAACTAAACTGGCAAGAGATCACACTGTGGTTATATTATATTAAATACAATATGTGGTATAAAACTAAACTGGCAAGAGTTCACACTGTGGTTATATTATATTAAATACAATATGTGGTATAAAACTAAACTGGCAAGAGTTCACACTGTGGTTATATTATA